TTGAATGACTTATGGGAAATGACTGCATTTTTAAAGTTTAGAAGTTACATGTTTATGACATCATCACATGACTATAATCAAGAATTTCTGTTTGTGGTGGTGGATGTTTCACAGTATTGACAATAGAAAATATATTATTGCTATTTAATGTTTTTTAAATGTTTTTAGTGACATATAATTCATATACCCTATAAAACAATGGTTCAGAAACATCAAAAAAAGTTATATAATCAGTTTTCTGCATTCTTGCCTCCAATGTTATTAGCATCTCCTGCCCCTCAACCTCTTCTGTTGCCCATGTTGCCATTTACTTTTAAATAAAGCAAGATGAAAACATCATTTATCCCATATCTTCTTTTTTTAAGGTCTAAGTAACTATCGGCTGGCATAATGATTTCAGTTGGAGAATATCATATACTTGATTATAAAAAGTATTGAGGAAAACATAAAACAGTCTCAATTTGCTAAAAATGATGTTTTTTTAGACTCATTTTCACTTCCTTCCTTTTCTGCAGCCACGTCAAGAAGAAATCGCAGCATCTACAGAGACACATGCCGAGAAAGAGCAGCAGCCAGGTGAAGGAGGCATTTCTTCTCCCTTGTATGTTGCATATCCCGTGAGCCAGAAGAAGCAAAAGGTCTATCATACAGACCATGCCACTTTCATAATTGGAAAAACACCGAAAGGAATTCGCAGGTATGTCTTCTGAGGGAGTAGGCTTTGTAATAACTGTAACTCCTTAGTAGAACATAACAAAATGTTTGTATTATGATCATACCTGTCATCTGAATATTTCAGAGAAATAAGAATTTTTATACATTAAAAAATAAATTCCAAATGTTTTAGATGATTATAGAAGGCTAACTACAAAGGTGTGTTTAACTGATGTAATTGCTACCCATCACGTATTGTCCTGTGCTGCTAACTACACAGGGGTGTCTAGTTGACATAATTCCTACCCACCGCACATGGTCAGTGCTGCTAACTACAGACAAGTGTCTAGTTGGCATGATTCCTACCCTTCACACATGGTCAGGAGTCGTTTCAGAGAAACAAGGCAGGAGTCAGATAAGGTGTGTAAACAGTAACTAGGGAGGCCCTATGACCACGCTGTCAACATGGATGGGAAAAGCAGCAGTACCGGGGGTACAGAGTTAGGGCTCAGTTTTCTGAAGTTCGGAGATAATCAACCCTGTTTATCTGTTGAGTGAAATGATTCACAGGGAAATAGGAGAGCAGGCTGGAGAAGTGACAACAGAGAGAATGGAGTCTGGAAAGCAGGGCAGGGTGGGATGCTGGCCAGTGCCCACATCTGCCCTGAGAGAGGCTCTTCAAGAGAAGGGGTGGGCTTAGGTACAGAAATAGTGCGAAGATGGGGACTTTTATTTTCTCCATGGATAGAGGCTCTTCATTTAGAGGGAGCAACAACTTAAGACATGAATCATTTGTAAAATAGGGAAGTACACATAAAAGGACTAGAACTCCTGGGGACTATTAAGTCCTTCCTTGAGCTTAATTTCAGTGAAACCACCTGCCTGGTTGTATGGATTTTGTTTGGCAAACATCAGTTGCTCTATCAGATATAGAGAGGGAGATAGCTGGTTTTTGCCAGGGTTTGGAGTGCAAGGAGAGAGTAGGAAGGACGCTTAGGGGTGTTTACACAGGAATGGTTCTAAAGCTGTGCCTAAGCTGGGCAGGGAGAGGCTGATGGATAATAAGAGAGCAGGAAAGTCAATGAATGAGAGGAGTTGATGAGGACAAAATTATACTGCATTCTTGCCACTGGGGGCAGGGGGTGATTGAGCTTTTCACTGGAGCATTCAATGATTCAGTTCAGGGTTTGGGAAGTTGTACAGTTAACAGTAATGACAAGGCCAGGTGTGACCTTAGGAGAAGAGGTCTAACATGCAGGGAAGAGAGGGCAGGAAATATAGGCAGGTATTGGGCAGGACTGAAAACCAAAAAACCAAATAAATTCACTACCATCGAGTCAATTCTGATTCATAGCGACCCTATCAGACAGGGTAGAATTACTATGGGTTTCTGAGACTATAATTCTTTATGGAAGTAGAAAGCCTCATTTTGTGCCCAAAGAGTAGCTGAGGGTTTTCAGTTGCTCATCTTATGGTTAGTAGCCCAATGCCATCAGTGCTCTGTTGGGCCAGACATATTCATGGATATTGGTATGAGATGGAAAGCAAAATTAATCCAGGATCTCCAGTGTTCAGGAAGTTGTTGTTAGGTGCGATTGCTAATGGCACCTCTTGGTCCAGCTGTGAGAATGTTGGTTTTCTTAACATTGAGTTATAACCATCCTGAAGGTTCCCTTCCTTGATCTTCATCAGCAAGGGCTTCAAGTCCTCCTCACTTTCAGCAAGCAAGGCTGTGGCATCTGTGTGTCACAGGGGTTGTTTTTTGTTTGTTTGGTTTGGTTATGGTTTGTTTGTTTTTCTGACAAATATTGTAACATCAAATATCAACTTAAAAATCATTAGAAAGCTGCACAACTCTTATATATATTTAAACCATTGATTTGGATGGTACATAAATTATATGCCAATAATACCTTTATAAGGAGAAATGGAAGTTAAAACATGCACAAAAGACAACGTTCCCTTTATCATGCTGTTAATAAAAGACGTCACATGAAAATAGACAGCCGTCACCACCCCTCTGCCATATCCTTTTTGTCTTCTTTATGTTATGTTTTATTAAATATAGTTTTATTGTTTTGTCAGGAATTTAATACTTTTTCAGTAATACTTAAAAACTCGTGTAATCTAGTTTTGTGTACTTCTTTTATTATTCTTATTTAAATATTAACTGTTTGAAATAATAAGCTACTTATCAATATATCCTTTTTATACTTAAAACAGTCATTAGGGCAATGAACCAGTTGTGAAAATTATTTGAATCCCACCACTGTTCAAGGCTATTTGGAAATTAAAAAAAAAAAAACTGAAGTGAACCTCTTCCTAAATCATTGAAATATTGCAATGAAGTTAATGAATGCTGCCCCACTTAAAACAACATTTCTTAGATCAAATATTTCCCCCCAGCAGTTTTATTGGTACATAACTTACATATCATACAATTCAATAGTTCATTCATTCAGTCATATCAAGGGGCATTGTACAGTCACCATACATCAATCTTATAGCACCCCCCCCCATCCCCATGGTTAAATCGCCTTTTAAATGGTTGTGCCTTGACAATCAATCCTAGTGCTCCCACCCCCTTACCGCCTTCATTATTTACTCCTGAAATCCCCTTTCCCTCCTTATTGCCCGCCCCTGCATTCCCTGTAACCCCTTGTGTCCGTTATTCTCATTATGTATCGACGACTCCTGTGCTTCACAGCTGAGAGACCCAACAGAAAACAGTAAAAAACCAAATCACAATAAGGTGGTAAGGATAAAATCATAATAGTATAAGACAAAAACACAAATAATGCATAAAAAGGAAAAGCCCCCCCATCAACATTCAAGAAGTCAGGGAGGAAATTTTTTTCTTAAAACAAGTAAAAGATACTGTCCCCAGTACAGATTCAAGTTGTGTCTGGGTAGAGGAGTGGGTGGCATGTCAAATCCCCAAGTATGGAGTTCAGTCCAGCATAATCAAGATTACAATGGTCTCTGCTTGATAGTAAGATGGTTCAAGACTTTTGCCTTTGGCTAGAATGGATCTGCCAGTGAATCAGTCTTACTAGATAATCTGCAGATGGGTTTTGGGCTCCTACTGTTCCCCATAGTCTTCTACAAATTGTGTGTTCATAACTTTAGCTCTGATACTTTTCTCTTTACCATATTTGAATTCTTAAATATTCATCGTTTGATCAAACAAGCTGGCGTGCTTCATCCATGTGGACTTAGTTGACTCCTCGCTTGGATGGCTACTTGTTTGAGTACAAGCCTTTAAGACCCCAGACACTATTCCGACGGTTAGCTGGGTACCATCTACTTTCTTCACCACACCTTACTGTAGTACCATTATCTTCAGTGATCACCTTGTGAAAGTGAATATTAAGCAGGGCCATGATGTAAGATCTAATTGTTCTTAAGTTAGAACTAGGATTTAGTGCAAGTCCAAAACTCATGCCTGGATCTATGTTTTGTTTTGTTTTTAATTTGCTGTACCTTGGGAGTTAATACATATGTCATATCATTCCATAGTTCAATCCTGTCAAACTTGATTATACAATTGCTTCCATAATCTGTCTCCAAACATACTTTTCCTTCCTGGACTTCTTGACATCCTTCCTTCTTATTTAACTCTTGTTTTATTTTCTTTCCCTATAGGCTCAACTTGCCTGTGTTTCCTTTAGCAAAAAAACACAGAAACCAGTAGCACAGCTTCAAGAGGGTGACCCCCAATGGTGGCACACCCCTGAGATACACCCTAATATAAACGTGCATAAGGATGATATAAGAGAATGACCATCACAGGATTGCCAGAATAATACGGATCATAATACAGCATACAGGGCATTGATGTAGCCAGACCTTGCCATTCTTGCTACCGCTGTGTCTGCTTCCTGGGACACAAAGTGTTTTCCAGCTTAAGTCCCCAGGATACAAGCATGTCTGAATTAGAGTCCAGTTTACCTAGTGGGATTCCCATATGGAGTCTCACTGATGCAGCCTCTGGAACATGCCATGCACCCCAAAGATCCAGGATTCAGTGTACCATTGTTCTATGACACCCTGCCTGGGTTCCGGGATACGCCCAGACGCCCCAGATCACTTCTGCCCACAAGCTAAACACCACTAAAGACACTTCCCACCTAATCCTCCCAAGATCATCCTAGGTCTCTCCTCCCCAGATCTTGGGGTCAGTCCTCACTCCGCTCTGCTCAACAGATGTGCACCTATGTTCCTTCAAACTTGTCCGTTCCTTCTCTCCTCTGCTGTGCTGCCCCTCCCCTCAGTAAGCCTCATCTCTCTGACAGGGCTGCCTCCCTCTCAGGGGTGGCCTGACTCCAGATAAAGATGGCTACCACTCAGCAGACAGCCTCCACCCCCTGACCCCCATCCATTGATCCCAGCTGTCATTAGGTGCCTTCCATCCAAGTGACCTACCCTATACTTCCCGGGAGCAGATGATATGTGGTTCATTAGCACTGGTCCAGCTCTTTACTAGGCTGTCTGGTCCCTGGTCAGAAGCTGAGCTTGTGCTAGATCTGCTGGTGGTTCTCACCGCAGTGGACTCATATATAAGCCCTTCTGTGCTTGACTAACTGCATCCGGCATAATGTCTCCCAGATCACTCCACTCCATGAGCTGAGGTGTTTCATGGTTTCATCACTTTTTTGGGAATATGTAGTCTTCTGTTGATGTGAGTTTATAGTGTTTCCAGCTTCTTGCTATTTAGAATTGTGCTGTGATGAACATGGTTTGTTTCTTATTTCTTACTGGTACACGCCCAGTAACGGTGTTGCTGGGTCATATGGTAGTTGAGTTGCCATCTGTTTTAGGTATTGCCATATCGCCTTCCCCAGTGGCTGTACCAGTCCACCAGCAGTGGATAAGGGTTCCTATCTCACCATACCCTCTCCAACATTTGTTGTTCTCTGTTTGCTTGTTTAAATTGGGCTACAATAATGGGCATTTTGATTTGCATTTCCCTGATGGCTAATGACCAGGAGCATTTCCTCTGTGTTTATTAGCCATTCGAGTGCCATCCTCTGTGAATCATCT